TCTGCTTTGAATGAACAGCTGAATTAATCATGGCAAAACCACATTTTATTTTTGTTTTGTTTATAACAAAAATACTACCACAATTGGGAGGGAGGGGAATACAAGCCAACTTGCTAAAAAAACAACAACTTTGGTCTAAATTATTTCCCTTTTTCTAATCCAGCTGAAAAATAAAGTGACATTTCATGTAGTGAGAGTATTTAAGAGTATATAATGATGTACAAAGAAAACAAGCACAAAGTTTATAGGCGTAATTTATATTTCAAACAATTTCTATAATTTAAAATAAAGACTTGTCTACATGGTAAAATTACCAGCAGAGCTAGAGCAGTATAATTATATCACTATACTAATTCTGAGGAAAGAATGTCCCCATAGGGAATGATCATAAAATGATTTTAGCAATATAATTACACCGCTATAATTCTGGCAGTAAATATGCTGTAGATAAGTCCTATGTTGCATCTCTTGCATGTGACTTACAACTAGTGGCTGGTTCTGTAGTCTCCTGGTATTAGCCTGCTGGCTAAATTCCTCAATCCTCATCAGTTATTGAGAAGTATAAGGAGTGGAGGATGTCATAGATTAGATGCTATTTTGATGAACATGCTGGTTTTTAGTCGCAACCTTGCAACTGCACACAGATATTACAATAGGCCCCTTAGGGTGCATCTATACAGCACCCTTACCTCGAAATAGCTTATTTCAAAGACAGCACCAAATTTCAAAATTAAGCACTATTCCGACAAGTCCCTTAACCCTTGTGGAATGAAGGTTACAGGGATGCTGGAATAGCATGCCTGTTATTTCAAAATATATTTAAAGATACTTAAAGACATGGAATTGCTATTTTGGGATACTTCCAATATCCCAAAATAGCCCCACTGTCTAGACGTAGCCTTATAGAATCCTAGAACTAGAAGGGACCTCGAGAAGTCATCAAGTCTAGTCCCCTGCCCTCATGGCAGGACCAAACACTGTCTAGATCTTCCCTGATGGATGTCTATCCAACCTGCTCTTAAATATCTCTGGAGATGGAGATTCCACATCCTCCCTAGGCAATTTGTTCCGGTGTTTAACCACCCTGACAGTTAGGAACTTTTTCCTAATGTCCAACCTAAACCTCCCTTGCTGAAATTTAAGCCCATTGCTTCTTGTCCTATCATCAGAAGCCAAGGAGAACAATGTTTCTCCCTCCTCCTTGTAACACCTTTTTATATGCCTGAAAACCGCTATCATATCTCCTCTCAGTCGTCTCTTTTCTAAACTAAACAAGCCCAATTCTTTCAGTCTTCCCTCATAGCTCATGTTCTCTAGACCTTTAATCATTTTTGTTGCTCTTCTCTGGACCTTCTCCAATTTCTGCACATCTTTCTTGAAATGTGGTGCCCAGAACTGGACACAATACTCCAGTTGAGGCCTAATCAGCACAGAGTAGAGTGGAAGAATGATTTATTGAATCTTGCTCATAGCACTCCTGTTAATGCATTCCAGAATCATGTTTGCTTTTTTTGTAATAGTGTCTCACTGTTGACTCATATTTAGCTTGTGGTCCACAATGACCCTTATAGATCCCTTTCAGCAGTACTCCTTCCTAGACAATCACTTCCCATTCTGAATGTGTGAAAACTGATTGTTCCTTCCTAAGTGGAGTACTTTGCATTTGTCCTTATTAAACTTCATCCTGTTTACGGCCATTTCTCCAGTTTGTCCAGATCATTTTGAATTTTGACCCTGTCCTCCAAAGCACTTGTGACCCCTCCCAGCTTGATATCATCTGCAAATTTGATAATCAGGGCTCGACAATCTATGTAATCTACTCGCCTGTGGCAAGTAGATTACATCCCGGAAGAGCCGGGTTCGGGTGATCTGCGCATGCATAGAACGATCTGCGCATGCCCAGAACGCCGGACAGCGCAGCTGGCGAGCGGGGCTTGTCGCGGCTTGGCGAGCCCTGTTGATAATCATACTCTCTATGCCATCGTCTAAATTGTTGATGAAGATATTGAACAGAACCAGGTCCAAAACAGACCCCAAAAGGAACCCCGCTTGGTATGCCCTTCCAGCATGATTGTGAACCATTAATAACTATTCTCTGAGAGCAGTTATCCAGCCAGTTATGCACCCACCTTATAGTAGCTCCATCTAGTTTGTATTTCCCTAGTTTATTGATAAGAGGGTTATGCGATAATGATAAGCTGATAATGATACATGTATGAAAATTATTCTAAAAACCTGTTTTCTTTCAATGCATTCTCTCTTCTACGTTCAGATTAACTGATTTTGTTCTTTTCTGTGTAACCTGATGCTAAATGATGACTTGCTATCCAGTCAAAAGGCACATAGACAATGACTGTCTAGAACTCTGGAAGGGACTGTGCAGGTAACCTGCTTGTAAACATTCCATTTGTCCGTGTACTGTATGTATAGTCAGTGACAGAATCCTGTGGAAGTATAAGATGTTTGACCACTACTCAGACCTTTGCTCCCTTTTTGTTTCTTTGCAAGGAAATAACAAGTTCATGCTTCGTTCATGTAGACAATGATATAATAAATGCAGATGTGCCAAAGGCAGTTTAAATTACGTGAGTGCTACATTGGTGAGGCAGTACTCAGCATGAGCAAGGGTAGCAGAATCTATCCATAGTGTGAAAAGCTGACTTACTAATTCTGCCCATTGATAGTCAACATGAGCACTGGCTACTGGATAGTTGGAAGGTCATTTCCACTCCCAACCTGGCAGGAGCAGTACAGGTGCATCTTCCTTATTCACTTCTGTTGAACACTTTTATAATCAATTTAGTAGGTGTGAAGCAATTAAACCGCTGTATGCCATAAGGAAATGAGATTTTAGCACCTATATCAGAGGGATAAGCAAATCTGAGAAATAATGCAACAGCACTGTTTGTCAAAAATTATATTCCCGTAAAAATGGTAAAGGGAGATGGTTAACTTTTTATTTAAGGGAGCTACTAAGTGATATGTGAGAGGAAACCAGAAAATAAGGCTAGAATAAACATGGAAGTGGAGTCTTTCATGCAGACTTTTGAATCCCCAGATAATGGCAGATTGAGAAGAATTTCAGGACATCAAGATTTCAAAAGCTGAGGAAATGGGAGGGGAGCAGCAAAAGTACCTGTCAGAAGATGCTATCATTTATATGCAACTATATTGAAAAAGAGTGTGAAACAAAGGTTTACTGAACATTAATTCATTCCATGAGCATAAAAGAGTTTGTCAAACTAAACAAAACTTGCCATGAGCTTCTGCTTGTTAGGATCAAATCTGAAGGAAGACACAGTTCTGACAGTGACAGAAGCTGTGCAACAGCACAGACCAGTCTGACTGGGCTCTAGCTGTACCAACTGGGCTGCTGAGATTAGTTTTAGCTTATTCTGTACTTCAGTAGTTTAATGCCTAAAGCTACAATATCTTGGTCCATGTTTCAGAAATAATAGCCTGGGGAAAGCATCTTGAACAGGGACCTTTGCTATATAGTCTTCAAGCAATTGTTGCTGCTTTACTTTCCTTGTTAGATTTACCCAGCCTTCATGAACTACAGGTCGGTGTTTCTAGTGGAATTTTATTGCAATTAACATGCAGTTCTCACAAAATGCTATTGCTGATGTCAGATTAGAACAGGCCATCATAGCAGTGTCACCTCTGCATTTGCCAAGCACTTTAGCATTTATGCTTCCCTAAGGCCCAAGACTTAGTTAAAAGATCGCCTTGATTTCAAATAAGGTTTTTTAGTATGCACCAACTAACTGTGTTAATTTATGAAGCATTTACATTGTCTGTGGAAAATAGGCAATTAAAAGTTATTTCATGCCTGTTTCAGTTTGGGCACAATCACTTATAAATGGAATGAAGCCCCTTCTTGGATGGAGAATTACTATGATTTTAAAGCAATTGGTAAAGATGAAAATCCTGGGTCTTGTATTCCAAGTTTACTTTTTTTGTACTGAAGCTGTAAATAATCTCAATTAAACGTCTTTTCTACAAATCTTTAATTGGTTCAGTTCCCTTCGCAGTTGCTTAAGTAATTATGTGAAGGCAGCCAGTTCAGTTCTTCTGGTCTCCAGCCTTGCTCAAGCCTTCTCATCTCTACTGCTGAATTCTAAATAAAAAAGACATTCTATGTAAAAGTAATACTCCCTTTATATCTAAGCTCTTAGCTCTTCATGTACATTTCTTCAGTAGTAAAGAGGCTAGCGATAGTTTTAAAGTGTTCAGTTCCACAAAGGTGAGTCACTCTGAAGGAGGATGTCTAGTTAATTCCCTGGCTCATCACAATCTCCTGGCCTCCTTTAAAAAAAAAAAAAAAAAGGGCAACCATGGCTATTAACACGTTTCAACATGAAATCATTAAGAGCTGTAAAAAAAAATTTTTTGTACCATATCCAACATTCTGTGCAGCTAAGGTAATTGAAACAGCCCTGGGACAGCTAATTTATGTTGATGAAAGTGTTAGCCAGAGAACCAATTAAAGTGGATGTCAACTAACACTTGTATAATTACACCACATAACTAAGTGGCCTTGAGCACTAACTGTATCTTTTATCTGGGTAAGCAAGTGGTAACACACCCATTAAAGTTAGAATCCCTGCAATAAGCAGGCTTCATACAACCAGTGACTCCATATACCATTCACTCACAAACAATCAAGGAGAAGGAAAGGTGAATGATGAACTTGACATGGCAACAGAATCCACCATGACCCTTGGTCAGTTGTTTCAAAGGTAAATTGTTCATTGTTAAAAAGAATTTACACCTAAATCTTCAGCTTTTGGATAACTTGATGCCATTCTGTGGTAACTGAAGTGACCATTATGAAATGTGCCCCCCCCCCCCCCCCATGCAAGTGGGATACATCCCACGTGTACTGGCTGGCCTTTGCAAGGAGTCAGGCATAGGAGGCCAATCCAATAAAGGCCTGTCCTTGCTCTATGTGAGGCTGTGCTTGGTGCTGAGATTTCAT